CATAAGATGCAACAGTTGTGCTTCCTTCAGTTTTAAAGCTGATCCTATCTGTATCTCCAACAACAATCTTAAATGGCCTTTCACTTCTTTTGCTGCTCGCCTTTATCTCTTTATCAGTACCTCAGCATCGTCTTTCTCCATAAATGTCTCTCTTTTTGTTAGATATTTCAAAGATTTTGAGATGTGCATCATTCATTGTGCCTTGAAGGGTAACTTCCATTTCTTATGATAATAGATGCAATCTTAATGTGACATGAGTGTGAAGATGTGTAAAAAAAAGACTGTTTTGAGGATGGTAAAGTTGCACAGGCTGCATCCTCTTCCACGTAGACTGACACAGCTGAAGAAGCGCTTTCCCAGAGGCATCCATCCCATCATGCTGTGTTGTTTTGAACACTCACTTAGGAATTCAACTAATAGTCATACATTTTCTTTTCTTTTTATCATTTTTTTCTTGTTTTGTTCATGTATGTCTCCCTTTGTCTACATTCCCCTTATTAGTCTACATGGTGTTATGTGCAGCCTCTCAGCAGGGCATCCTGTGCATAAAGTTTAAAATTTTTATTCACACATTTTCCACGACTTGTGTCTCAGAAGTACTGAAATCCTGGTCACAGGTTTATAGTGTGATGAATATTTCATTGGCCTTGGGTGCAAATATTCTGGGGGCATCTGATTCAGGCAAGCTTTTGTTTTCTTATTCCTTCATTGAAGAGAAAATGCTCCATTTGTTTCCCACCGAGATGCACACATGACTATAAACGGTTCCGTCTTTAGGATATTCAGCATCCTGAGGTGTGCCAAGAGATTGTGGTCCTTTTTTTTTAAAAAGCTCCAGGTTTTTTTTCTTTTGAAGCATACAAAGGCAACAATACTCATCAGTGTTTCATTTTGAACTCAGGTGTAGCTACTTTCTGGTAGAAAGTAAAACTATTTTTGCAGTACATTTATTGTATATTAGGATGGAACAGTTCTGGGTTTGAAACCCTGTTAGGTGAAGTTGGCATGTTCTCTCAGTGCACTTTGGTTTTGTCATGGTATGCCAGTTTCCTCCCATAAATCAAATTCATGTATGTTAAATTATTTAACTTTAAATTGTCCCTCATGTTTAAGAAAGTGTAAATGTCTACTCTCCATGAGTCCCTTTGATTGACTTGTGACCTGTTCAGGGTGTACCCTACCTCTTGCACAGTGACTGCTGGTCATAGGCACCAACTTCACCAACAATGAATTTAAAAGTAAATGCTTAGCATGTCATGAAAGAAAGCAAATTGCCTACCTTGCCTGAATTTAAGACTAAGACCATCTGATGTTGAAAATACTTGAAATACCTGTTTTGATCAAACCTTCAGAATGACATTAGACATGGAAGATTAGTGCATGGGTTGTGTTGAGGAGCTACTGCTACATCATATTTAAAAATGACAAAGTATATCCATTATAAAGTTTGCTAAAATTGAAAGAAGGTGCTGGGTTCGAGTCCTGTTTTAGACCTGAGTTATTCTGTGTGGAGTTTGCATGGTCTTCTCATATTTACGTGGGTTTTCTCTGGTTATTCTGGTTTCCTTTCACAGATGTGCATGCATGCTAGGTTGCCTTCAGGCCCGGGCCTCCCTTGCAAAAGAGGTCTGTGATCTCAAAGAGATCTGCCTGGTTAAATAATAATTAGTAATACAGATTCAACAGTCACAGCTTTACTGCTCTCTGAGTCAACAATACTTGAGGATTCAGATACAAGAGAAGTGCAGCAACTGCGTTTAAGATCTCAGTGTTTTTAATTTATACAATGTCACAAATATTAAGAAAACACTAATACACAATAATGTACAAAGTGATGTTGTTCCACTTGAAAGACTGACCTGCAGGACAGCTCAGCAGGTTGTGTCATATTTTTAGGCAACCAATCAGGCAACACAGCTGTGATCTGGTTGGCATTGTTCCCTCACAGCAAGAAGGCTCAGGCCTCTCTGTTGGAAGTTTGCATGTTCGACTTGTGCCAGGTTGATTTTCTTTCTGTTTTTTTTTTCTTTCTGTTTTTTTTAATACCACCAACCTTTTTTTGTTATTTAGCCTTAAAACCTGCATTTTACAAGGGAATTCTGAAGTGTTCATTGTGACTCTGTGGAAGTTGTTTAGACTTTTTAAATCATGTTAGTGTTTCTGTTGATCCTGAGATGGGATGGGAAGCTGTCCCGGGTTTACCCTATGTCTCACCCAGTGACAGATGGGAAAGGCTTTAGTCCTGTGTGACCCTAAACAGGATGGAGTAGAAAGTGACAATGAACATGCAACCCTATGGTCAAAACTCCTCATGCTTATGAGAAACAAAATAAAGACCGAAAGGAGTTCTAAAGCTGCTCAAATGACATGTTAAATAGTTAAACCTAGCGCTCCTCCAAGGAATGCTAGGCCTTTATAACCTTTTCTGTTACTGTATCGGAAAAATGCAATTCATCATTTGTTACAATGCTTGGCAGCGGCGATTCTAGGATCTCACATGTGAGGGGGCTTAGCCTCCAGCAGATTTCCTAAATCCCATAGCAAATTTGTATATATTCACATACAAAATGAAATAGTTTTGTCGTATTAAAAGAGGTAATACATATAGATTGAATTTGAAACAGAATATCCGATGCCTACATCATACTCGCCAACATCTGCGTTTTTCAATGAGAGACACATGCTCATGTTGACAAGCATTATGCTTGTTCACACCGAACACATTTTGAGCAGCTAAAACACACCTGACGCCTCAAGTTGGACGCACAACGTTCAGACGGGACACAGACTAGACGCACAGCTGAAGAGGGAGGAGCGTCATAGTTTTTTTTTCCCTGTCTGTCTTAATGGGGGATGAAAAAAAAAATGGCTTTGCTTAATTTACTAAGAGCAAGTGAACTTTGCGCACACCAGAAAATTAATTAACCAGATAATTTAGAGGCGGTCTGTTCGGTGAGTTTCACCAGTCCAGGAGCTGCGAGCTGACAGACTATTTTTGTCCTGAGCCCAGTTTAATCAAACACTGACCTGCATCGGTGCTGATACCTCCAGCCAGAACACCAAATACAGAAGGTCGATTTAAGATAAAGAGCTCCTGTCTATATGTTTCAGGTTAGTGGGCAACATTCAGAAAACTGTCATATGGAAAAATGATGCTCTCTGATTGGTTGACGTGGTGCATCGAGCAGCAAAAGTTCAGATTTTTTAACTCGAGCATGCACGAAAAATGCTCACCTACTGCTTCACACTGCGCTAAATGCTCTAGACACGCCGTGAGATCCATAGGCGCACGTCCACTATAGACTTTACATGGAAGCCAGCCGCTCCTGCTGCTCAAAACGCATTCGGTGTGAATGTAGCATTAGTAGAATAAAGCATTTCGGAGGTGGTTCGGGGGCATGCTCCCCCAGAATTCACAGTCCACTGAAAACAATGTTTTTTTTCCAGTCATCTGAAGTACTTTATTACTAAATTCATAGGATTCATGAAACCACCTAAAATCAGTATGTTATGAAGGTAGAAGACTGAAAACTTTAAAATAAACTTTATTTTTCATACTGAGCAGCATGTGTTAGCAGCATATAGTACTTTATTACAAAAGACCCTCTGCAGCATACATTTAGTAATGAAGCAGACTGAGAAACCCACAGAACCTTCACAGGCCTGAAGAGAAAGAAATGTGTGATATACCTATGTAACTAGTTCTTTTACAAAATAAACTACAACTACTTTCTAAAAAAAAAGGTAGTGAAATCATCATATATCCCACAGAGTACCAACAAATGTAAAAATGCAATATTTTTTTCCTGTCCTCTTACTTCTTGTCTGTCAAAATAGTTAAGAATAAAATCATTAAGAGGGAGTTTGCTATACAAACATTTTGCATTGAACTACTTCAACACAATCTTTAAATAAATAAAGCAAGCAAATGCTGTAATTTACAAATAAATACAATCAAATATGTAAAAATATATTTGCATCAGGATCTAATACTGTTGACTATAGTTGCTCTTTGAGGCTAAACTAAAGGGAGCTAACTGTGTGAAATTCACTCACCAAGACTTCCAATGCTCAATTTTATAAAAAGTGATCCGCCCCGGTTAGGGTGGTAGGCCCATGGCCTAGGAGCCATAGAGAAGGCAGGACTTTTCCAACTCAGCCAATGGGAGCCTCAAATGATATACTGTGTGTTGCCCAGTTACATGTCTGCTCAAGCATGGCTGACACAACAAAAGGATCAGCAGGAGGTTCAAGGGTCTTAAACCCCAATGAGGTTACACTTCCTTACTAAATTTGCTCTTTACCTTACACTACAGATTCATTATCATATTTGTGTTAATAACGTCCAGTTCTAATTATGTAGTTCAGCTCACTTTCTGTAAAAAATAAATAAATAAATAAATAAATAAATAAATAAATAAATAAATAAATAAATAAATAAATAAATAAATACATCGAATATCTCTAAGGTGGTGGGCCTTGAGCGACCCTAAAATAGGCCTAGTGACACACTAGTGCTTAGTCTACCATTTAATATGTCAGTATTTTAAACAGGTTTAGGGTTGGGTGCGTAAATGTAAAAAAAATGCAAATGTGTTCCGCTAAAGGACATACCTACTAAATGCTGTATGACTACTTCTCTGTTCTCTTCTTTGATAATACTTGCAAAGTTCCCTCACAAACACCTGCACTGTCTTTCTCTCTGGTATCTCACCTCCCCCTCGTTTCATTGTTCTCTACACAACAGCTCGCACATCGCAGCCAGCTGTGGCTGCAGGTGTCGGAGTAAAGCACAAAGATGCTGATAGTTTTCTCTGCTGTCAGAGGGGCTCTGCTTTATCCTATCCTCTGCCTGCTGTCTCCAAGCCGCGAGCTATCTGTCAAGCACGGGAACAAACACCCCCCCCCCACTCTTATCCATTGATAATGTGCTATTTAAATATATACTGTATAAGTATGTGTGCGGCAGTAAGTAGATCTTTCCTCTCTCTGTTTCCCAGGTAACCGAAACAAGGACGGGCCCTCTCGGCTGCAGTAACTACGACAGCTTGGATTCGGTTAGCTCGGTGTTGGTGCACAGTCCGGAAAATAAGATCCACCTAAAGGGTGAGGCCCCAAACACACACACACACACACACACACACACACACACACACACACAC